GGCCCGGAGGGAGCGAGCCCCGGACCGCGCCGGCGCCGGCTAGCAGAGCGCGGCCGGACGCGCGCCATGGACCCGAAGGCGGGCGGCGGTGGAGGCGAGGAGGATGACTGCGTAGACTCCGGCGCCGAGACCGGAGGGTGAGCAGCGCCGGGCCGCGGGCGGGGAGCGCTCTCCGAGTTGCGCGGCGGCTCCGCCCCGGCCGGGGACCCTGCTGGAGCCGGTGGCCGAGTCGGCGCCGCCCGTGCGGGACGGGGGCGCGGGGGCTTTCCCGCCCTGCCAGTACCCCGGGGAAGTGGAGGGGCTGGGTCGGGCCGCTGCTTCCCAGACCTTGGCTGCCCCGGGCGGCGGGCCCCGCCGCGGGAGGGGGAGAGTGGAAGGACCCCTGGTGCGGTAGACCCCCCCCCCCACTCCACACACACCACCTTCCTCCCTTCTTGCCCTGTGTCAGTAAGTGAGATGATGTGGAGCGCCAGGCAAATGCAGCGTCTCCTTGTCGTCTCCCTTAGAAAGACGGAGTGCTCTTGCACTTGTTTCGACCTTCCGGGAGGACTTACAGCTCCGGGCCCCCTGGAATCTGGGATGGCGGTTGGGGATGGGGAGAGGAGGAAAAGCAAGGGTAGGACACCCGGCGCTTTAAAGTCTTTCAGAAGCCTAAGATGATGGCATGCTTCAGTTCATGGCTTTATTGTGGGGCTTTATTCTAGGCTTGTCGAACCCTCCCCGACTCCTCCACCCTGCTCCCACCTTCCTCACCCCTAAGCGCGTGCGTCTCGGCTAGAACTGCCTGCCCGTGGTGCCAGCAGAATGAGGATGGTGCTGTGATCTAACCCTGATTATTTAAGGAAATGTCTTGTTTACTACAACGGACTCAAACAATCAGCTCAAACCTTTGCAGTTTAATTAGCCCTTTGCCAGCAACACTGTTTCCCTGAGAGGGACAAAAGGCCGAACGTCTTTTAGAAGGTGAATTTCATTGTGAAGGCTTCCACTTAGCGCCTATCTCTAAAGGATTTTCCTGTGCAGAGTCAGCACCACATTCAGGATGTGGGTACTGACCCAGGAGGAAAGGGTGTCTTTTCCTATCTGGAACAACCTGGGGGAGGACAGGACTGTCCCAGACTACAGAAAGCCTCATTCCTGGAAGGTGGGAAGATTTGAAACTAATCTCAGGGTTTGGCAACACTGTGAGGCAGGAACAGAGCCCAGGCCCAGAATAGACCCAGGCTTCTGACCTGACCTTTTGAAGCTCTCAGCAGCCCCTCCTGTCTGCCCAACGCCACCGTACTAGAAGTCTCCACTTCCACTCCTAGCTCAGACAGAGGACTTTGTGCCCTAAAGCATTTACCCTGCAGTGGGCTTTCCCTGTTACCCAAATGTGTGATCATTCATGGTTCACTACAGAACCCAATTACAGTCTCGTGGAGTAGCCTGATTCCAATCCTGAACTCCTCTGCTTTTTCCCAAACTTTATGTATGTGGCATTTAGTAACTTTGATTGAAGAGCCTTGGCTTTCTGGTTTTTTCTTCTTGCCTCTAGTTAACTGGACTGTGGATAGAAGAAACAAAGTAAAATAGCCAGCTCATTTTTAACTGGGTTAAATAAAGCACTGCCTAGTCGTTCATTTTCAATTTGCAGAGCTCACCTAAAACAGATCCCGCCCCGCGGCCTGCCACCAAGGGCTCTGTCTGGGAGAAGCAGAGAGGAAGCCCTGACCTGGGGGTGACATCGCCTTGGGATCCTGATGGTCAGCATGACAGCTGCTAGGGCTACTGGGAGGTGCTTGCTGGCCGTGCTGACACTGGAGCTTCTCTTGTCTGTGTCTGTGTGTCCCTAACGTGTAGTTAGACAGGACAGAATTGTTTAAAGAATTTTTATTGCCTCGGTTGTTCTTGTTGTTAGTTGCTGCTGCTCCATAGGGTTTTCTTGGCTGTAATCTTTATGGAAGCAGATCGCCAGGCCTTTCTTCCACAAGCCACTTGGTGGGTCCGAGCCACCAACCTTTAGGTTAGCAACCAATCACAAACCACTTGCCCCACCCTGGCTCCTTTATTGCCTCAGTAGCATCCTTAAATTAAAGATGAACGTAAAATGGCATGTGTTTAAATAAAATAGTTTCAATATATGCGTTCCTCTCATATTTGCCATATATGCATATACCCCCTGAGTTTAGTTATAAAAAGAACTATTCAGTTTCCCTATTTTTCTCTCCCCACCTCAAGCCCGTCCAGCTTTCATATAGCTACCTGCCGAGACTATGATAAAGTACATAGAAAGCGCTCGGTGCGTGTTCACTACCATGAAATTTTTAAAATGCAAATCTGATCACGTCTCTCCCCCTTTGAAACTTTCAGTTGCTCTGCCATCTGTAAAGTGCAAAGAGCCTAGCATGGCCTAAAGCCCAGGTGTTCTGGGGTCCCGTCCTCTCTCTCGGCATTGTTTTTCAGCAGGTCCTCCTCCGCTCTGTGCACCTGGCTGCATCAGACAGGTCTTTTTAGTTTCCTGGCATTTGTCAAGCTGCCTTCTTTGCCAGAAATGCCCTTCTCCACCTGGCACAGCTGTCCACCAAGTGAAACTCGACTCTTCTTTCACGACTCAGCTCAAGTGACACATCTTCTAAGGCAGAGATCCTTTATTTGGGGTCCATGAAACATTGCTTCAAGTTGTAGACAAACTGATGTGCTTTGTGAATTTTTAGGAGAAGATAACTTATTTTTTTATCAGATTCTCAAAGGAGTCTGTGACCCTTCCAGAAAGGTTTAAAAAAAAAAAAAAAAAAAACAGTTACCATCGAGTGGACTTCAACTCGTGACGACCCCTGTGTGTCGGAGTAGAACTGTGCTCCATAGGGTTTTCAGTGGTTAATTTTTCAGAAATTAGATCGCCAGGTTTTGTAACATCCAAGGCATTAACCATTAGCATCACACAGGGACTCCCCCAAAAAGGTTGAGGATGCATTATCATGAGTTTTCCCGACAGATCCACCTCACCTCCTACCCCCTCCCCTAGTGAAACGGACTGCCTTGTCTTTTGTGCTCTCTGTCGTTAACACATGCCTTGTCATCGCACCCAGAATCTTTACCGCAGGTGTAACACCGTGAACACAGACTGGACTGATGCCTCCTCGTGTCCCTAATGCCTGGCACCTTGTCTGGAGCACAGCAGATGCTCAGTGCATCTTATTTGAATGAGGAGTGAAGATAATTGGAAGCATTGATTTCTTTTTCCCTAAATTGTCATTTCCAAAAATATCTGTGAGAGAAAATAAAATTTGGCAGCAGTTGGTTTAAAATTAGGAGGATTTATATGTGAAGCGCTCATCTGCTAACCCCAAGGTTCACAGTTCGAGCCCACCAGCCGCTCCATGGGAGAAAGAGTGGCAGTCTGCTTCTGTAAAGATCGCAGCCTTGGAAACTGTGTGGGGCAGTTCTACTCTTGTCTTGTAGGGTCGCTATGAGTTGGAATCCACTCAACAGCAATGGGGTTTATATGTGAAAGGTTTCACAAAGATGCTGTCCCTATCTGTAGCAATAACGAATATTCAGGAGTCTTTTTTGTTCTTTAATTCAGCAAATATTAAGCACCTCCTGTATACAGGGCGAAGCCCTGGTGGCACAGTGGTTAAGCGTTCGGCTGCTAACCAAAAGGTTGGCAGTTTGAATCCACCAGCCACTCCTTGGAGACCCTATGGGGCAGTTCTGCTCTTGCCTGTAGGGTCGCTATGAGCTGGAATCGACTTGATGGCAACAGATTTGTGAGTCTCTCTGTGGGCAGTGGGGTATACAGGGCATTGTTCTAGGTACTGGGGATAGAGCTGTATACGAGTCAGGTGCCATACCTTCCCTGAAGGAGCTTGATATTGAGTGGGAAGACAGATGTCAGACAATGATTTATGCAATTAATGATTTTATTAGAGTTGTAGTAAGTGCTGCTCAGGGACAGTGCAGAGCAGCATGCTTGTTACTGACACTAGATCTGACCAGTGGGAGGGGCTGGGCTCAGGGAAGCTGTCTCTCGCCCCTTCGGGGGGAACATTTGGTGAAGGTGGATAGGTGTTGGAGAGTTCTGTCAAGGAAAGCACGTGCAGTGCCTGAGGCGGGACGGAGAGGCTGGTGGGAGGAACTGAAAGAAGACATTTTGGCCAGTGTCCTCACATGTGGAAGCTTTTCAACTTTATTGTAAGTGCAATGGGAGGCCTTCCAAGAAGTTTCCTGAGACTATCGTATTGTGTATATTACATTGCATTGTATGGAGAAAGTCAAGTAGGAAGATCAGTGAGGAGCTTTTGCAGAAGTTGGGACCAGAGATAATGGTACAGTGAACCAGGATAGTATCGGCAGAGAGGGTTAGTTATGGAGCCTTGTGTCAGTTACTTAACCTTTCTCTGCCCTCAGTTTCCTCCTCTGTAAAATGGTGCTGATAATAATAGTACCTACCGCGTAGCGTTGTTGTCAGGACTTACAAGTAAAGCCCCTAGAACAGTGCTTAGAGTAAGTAAACCCTCAGTATGTTATGATTTCCTATCATACTATTTATATTGTTATGAAGAGCACTCCAAACTCTAAGTCAACCTTAACAACTTGGCACAGAGTGCTGAGGGTAAAGGACCTTGGAGGTAAACCAAGTTTGGGTATGGTGAGTTTCCCTTACAACATGCTGCCTTGGAGGTATTAAGAGACATGCAAGTAGAGATGTTGAGTCAGCAAAGAGATCTGCGCGATGACGTTGCATTTGGAGGTGGCGGTCCTGGGAATAGATTACACCAAGGAAAGGTAATAGCAAACAATGATCTAGCACTTACTATGTGCCAGGTACTATTCTAAGAGTTTTACATATCTTATTAACTTATTTAATTCTTCAACAACTCTGTGAAGTAGGTACTATTTAAGACCAACTTTGAGAGACAACAACATTGAAATGTTGGGTAAAAGAGGATGAGTTGATCAAGGAGCCTGAGAAAGATTAGGCATGGAATAAAAAAGAAAGATGTGGTGTCACAGAAGCCAAGAGAAGGGAGTTTTTGAGGAAGGAAGGAGAGTTAACTGCGCTACTGAGAAACTAATTAAAATGAGGAATGTGAAGTGTCTTTGTACTTAATGGAGATAATGAAGTGAAGGTGGAGTAGCATTTGACAATGGA